TCGCGCCATATTGCCATATTAATTTATGCAAAATTTCAGTACTGTGTTGTCAATATTTTTTAATATATGGCCAAGCTACTATGGAAGTTGTATGGCAGCTATCAGAAGGAGCCAAGCAATTTCAACGAATTTTACCAAACACATTGGCCTTACTAATATATTCGTTTGCGTAATATTTCGATACCAAAGCTTTCATAGTTTCTAAGATATGGTCAAATAAATTTTGAAGTTGTATGGCACCCCGATCACATCTAATTTTAACAGGATTCTGGCATTTACTTTATTAAATCATTTATGAAAATTTGGTGAACTTAGCTCAATTAGTTTTTGAATTGTTGATGGGACGGACGGACGCAGAGACAAAGCTAAATCGACTTAGAATTCCACGCTGATCAAAAATTTACCCTTGAGTCTATATCTCAGACCATTATTTTTTAGCGTTACAAACGTTAAAACAAATTTAGTATACTCTTCGAACATACGTACGGGTATAAAAATGAGGAAAATTTGAATTTTCTTTCTTAGCTCTGTATAAAATTAATACAAACCTTATCAAGTTTTTCTTTAGCTTATCTTTAACTTTATCAAATTTAAATTATCTCTTTATTTGAAAATGTAATAATAAAATGTTGGTGACCTTTTAATGTGAACTAAAAATTTAATCATTTGTTCGTCTCCCAAAAGTATGCAATGAAAGCACATGTATAAACTATGTCCTGATATTGAAAAAAGTGTAGTGTAATTTTTCGGTGGCAGGCATTTGATAGCAGGCAAAACCTTATTGTAATTTTCTATGTGTAGGAAAAGAAATGAAACAAAAAATTAACTTTGAACATCTGGTGTAATTTGTGCCTACTACTTACTGTTGTACATCGATTTGCTGGCTACTTTAAGAAAATTATATGAAAATACATAACGTATTTCCGGGTATAAGTGTATTTTTCGTTAAGCTATACCAGAAAAGAACAATAGCACCTATTGTATTTTGTTTTTTTAAATATAAACAAATTTATAATTGATTTTATCATTTGTTTATTTAAAAATTTTCTTAAACATTTTCACGTTTTCGTTTTTTGAATTTCTCCCCGTTTTTTTTATTTTTTTATTTTTGAATATAAAAAATATGGGTCATCTATTCTCATCTATAGGTTGAAAATAAAAGAAATAATAAAAATAAAAAAAAAACAAAAATTATTTTTAAGAAATATTATTCTTGGTGCTTAATATTGCAAGCCAATACAACGTGATTTTCTTGAAAATTTTTATAAGAACGTCATTTGTAGAAAATTAAAAAATAAATAACAAAATTTTAATTACTTTTGAATCTGGAACATTATCGCAATTTTTCGTTGTTATTTTAAAATAAAATTTGAATTCATGAAAAATAATAATAATTATGTACTTATGTATATTTTTCCCATAAAATCTTATTTATTCTTTAGAAATTTAATTAATTTCTTGAACGACTATTATGACGAAGAGTTTATTTAGAATTAATAGATTATATAAGTGTATAATTGTATACTTGTTACGGGTTTCTGTTGTTTTTAATAATGTATAGTAAAAAAAAATATCTTAAAATTTCCAAAATATTGACAAATCAGTTCTATAATTGATAATTCAAATGTGATTCTGTAGTTCTTCGACTAACAATCAAATTTTATAACTGAGTTTCTGAAAATTCTGACAGAAAATGTAATGACACAAATTATAAAAGTCTCATTTTGAACTCATATGTATGTTAATTTTGATAATTTTAATTTGTTAATTAAACGTCAATATTTAAAACGTTACCGTTAATATTTGGGGACTAAATGATTTAGAATATATGACAAATTTTTCTAAATTATATAAAACTTTAACAATTAGCTTCATTTTTATTCTTCTTCCTGGAGTTGTTTTTTTTTTTCTAGAAGTTTCTTACGACACCATAAACTAGGTTGACCACCCTCTTAACTTTTAAGAAAAGAAAGAGAAAACAAAGCTTTAGAATTCTACTTAGCTGACATTACTTCTATTTTATTTAAAATTTAGTCAATTTATGTGCATATTTATATTTAGAAAAAAAAAAATCCAATTTCTTAATTCTATTTTTGTTTACCAAGAAATTTTCTGTCTAGAACTAGATCAAAAGAATATTTTCCCCGAATAACACCTTTTCTTATTTGTTGTTCTAAAAAAAACCAGTCACTGAATTATTTTCATCAAAAATTTTCTAATTTTTAAAATTTAAAATGCAAAATTATATAATAAAAATACCTATAAAATACGTACACGTGCTTTAGGAATTTTCCATTTTATGCCGATTAATTTTTTTTTCCTCATTTTATAAATTATATATGTATGTAAATTTTTATATAACAAATGTTTAATTTAATTACCTTTTTATTTTTAATTTCTTTTTAATTTACAATTTAATTTGTATATTTTAAATAATGTTCGCATATTGTATTTATATCATAGAATATAACAAAGTATTTTAGGAACAGTCCAGGAAAAAATTTGAATACATATAATATGTATTTATGTATATGTATACATATATATAAAATTTTATTGGTGGGGCCTAAAGAAACAATTTAAATCATAAGAAGTTTTTGATTACATTTTGCTGATTTACATTTAAAAATTTAAGAAGAAGCTCGTGTAGAATAAGAATAAATTTAATTCAACAAATCTAATATACAAACGAAATTATCATGCTAATGTATTAATTAATGTGCTTAAAATAAAAATATATTTTACGTATAAAAATATTTACACAATTACATCTATTTTATTGAATTAAGAATGAAATGCTCTCATAACGCAAATGTAATAACTTGCAAATTATCTAGTAAATAATAAATAAAAATGTACTTGATAAACTTAAGAATCATGTTACTTACTTAAAAAATGCTCTACTAAATATAAAAATTATTATGTATTTAAAAATATTAATAAAAATATTATTCAGAGTCTGTTTTACTAATCTCAAAGTAATTTCAATAATTTACTTGTACATTTTGATTTCACTAGATTTCCTAAAGCCTTTTCAGCCAATCGCTTTTACTTTTATTTTTTAGCTTTTTAAAATTGTATTTGCTTTATTAATATTAATATAGTTTTTAACTTTATTATTACATTCTCAGAATTTTGACTTTGGGTACAAGAGACGCTTTGCAAATTTCTTAATTAATGGTTATTGTGGACAATATTACACATCCAATATAATTTAATCTAATTTCAATATAATAATCTACACAACTACATATACACATTTAATTCAGCTGCCGTTACTCTATTTGTATTTGGCTTACAAAAAAAAAATTAATTTTTAATTGCTTATTTTGAACGTATATTTTTTTTTCTTCGTTCTTTACTTTTCGTGGAATAATCGCAGGGTAACAAAACTTCGCCTTTATTTTGGGCCATATTTTTGATTTCTGGCTATTTTTGAATTTGAAAGTAACTTCTTTCATCCGAGTTTTGGGCCATGACAAAATTGCAATTGCCATGCTTAAATGTACAATAATAGGTTCTTATGTGTACATATGTATATATACATATATATATTATTAATATTCCAATATCTACATAATAAATTCTTGTAATGTTTTATTTTTACTTAATTTAACTATAAATTCCTAGCGTATACACAAAAAAAATTTTTACCAATATAAAATAATAAAATAAATAAAAATATTTTGAATAACAAAAAAATAAATAAAATGGAGAATCTATAATAGTTTTGCCACATTTAGAAATACAATAAAAACAGAAAAGAAAATGATAAAAATAAAAAAGAAACAAGAAATGTTGGCGCAGGCAGCAGTAAAACGTGTTTGAATTATTTTTAGATATAAAAATTAAAATAGCATAACATTATATTGGTGGAACGTGTTTTTTCTTTAATAATTATATTATGTATTTTACCATTTCATTCATTCACCATATTAATTTATGGTAAATTAAGTATTTTATCATGAAATAATAATTGTTTTGAACTTTATTTTAAAGAATTTCGCGCGTATTTCTCTTTATACCATCAATAATTTAATTTATTTAAAATATATGTTATTCGTATTAGCTGTCTTACCCTTATTATTTTATTATATATGTATGTTGTATGAATGTATAGTTGACGTATGATCGTAATAGAAATCGATTTTATTTTTGAAGATTATGATTACCTTTGTTCCTTTCAACAACGGTTTTAAATTCTTTTAAAAAATTCATGTGTCAAAATCTTCACTTATTTTCGTCTCGTCTAAAATTTTTATTATTTGCCTATGTATTTTAATTATGAAAATATTTTGTCTATATTAATTAATTTGTAGTAAAATTTTCGTTAAAAATTTTTTCAAAGTGCTCGTATTTATTTAGTTTTTGTTATTGTTCTCTCAAAACTGTTTATCGATTTTGACCATTCATGTAACAACTATATAACCATTATTATTATGGTTAAATAGTTGTTCTGTGGTTAAAACTTGTTCCAGTTTCGATTCCTTTCTGATTTGCTATCTTATGAGATGTTTCAGTTTCGATTCCTTTCTGATTTGTTTGTTTATAAGGTGGTAGGTAATAATATGTATACCAAATCTTCAGGGGTATACATATACATATATGATTCCCAAAATGATGGAATCAAGTATTTCCAAAAATATTCGAACGTCTATAAATTTTAAGATTAAGAAATTAAATTCAACTCTCAAAGAAAAAATAAAAGTTCATACACATATTTGAATTTTCTATTTAGATTATTAAAAATCAAAAAAAAAAAAAAATAATAAAATTTCTTCTTTTTTAATTTTTTTAGTTTTTTACTTTATCGTTTTAAACATGGTTTCCATTTATTTAAAAAAAAAAAAAAACGGAAAACCTATGCTGTAAAAACGAAAACTTGAAGAAAAATTTCATTAATTCTAATTTTTTTCTTTTTATTTATAAAACAAAAACCAAAAAAAAAAAAAAAAAACCAAAAAAAAATCAAACCAAAAACAAAACAAATAATTTAACAGTGAAGCAGCAGTAGCCGGATTTCCATATTGTACAGAATCAAGTTTAAATTTTTCAACATCAGGTGCACCATACAGTGAAGATGATGCAGAATATTCAGCTGGACGTCGTAATAAAACATCACGGGTAAATATTATTAGTTGGGATTGGGGAATAGGGACACAAAATTAATGTTATATAAGTATATTATCTTGAATACATACATATAACACCTGCAAAAATTCTATATTTTATTTTTTATTTTAGTTTATGTTCCGTTTTTATTTTTTCATTTTGTAAATAATTATAATTAATATTCTTTTTTTAATATATATGTACATATATTGAAAATAAATAATTTGCTTAATATTAAAGGGCTTAATAAATAATATAGCTTTGCCAGCGCGAATATGTTATATTGTCGCACGAGTTGTATTGCAATATTCAATATAAGCATACGCAATATGTATATACTCGTATATACGTACATCATTATATAAATGTATATAACAAAACATATATGTATGTATGTGCAAAATGTACTTAACTTATTGTACATAATTACATATGGATATACATACATTTATATAATATATAAAAAAAAAGTTTAATCACACTCGGAGACTCTTTCACTTTTTGGACTGGTGAATTTTTAAAACTAAAGCTCTGGTGTTGTATACTTAAAGCTGGTGTATAATTTTTATGGTTTTTATAATTTATTTGTTATACTTAATTTATTATATTTTTCTTTTTTAATGTAAATAATAGTAATAATAATTTATTTTAATTTTAATATAAACTAAAATTAAAAGAATCAATGCAAACGAGAATAATGGTGTTTTTATTATTTTATAAAGAAAAAAAAAAACAAAAAATTTTTTCCTATCGAAAATAGGACCTCTAAATTTATTATAAATTTTACTTTTCATAATTATCAAACAAATAACAACTCTTCAAATTGTCAAGCTTTAATATTATACGCGTGTCAAATATTAAATATGTATAATAAAATTTAGTTCGGACACACATTAAACGAGCTCGATTTATATATGTACATTTATGACATACGTATGTAATTACAAACATACATATTTATCTAAACGTAAACCGTTTCATTATATAAAATTTGAATTCTGACAGTTTGATTGATTTCTCATTGTTTCATAAAATTCACTGTCACAGTTTATATATGTCATAAATGAATTTCACATAATTTACAAATTTAACTGAAAATTAATTGAATTATTTAAAAAAATTATCAATTAATATTAATAATACAAAAAATCTCTAAATGCCATCTTTATAATTCATACATTCTGGCAGTGATGTTTTGATTAATTCTCTTAATTATTTTTTGTCATTAATCTTGTACTTAACACTTCAATTTATAAATGTAATTAATTTCCTATAAATAAGTTGATTGAGAAAATAGCCATTTTTTTATTTTATAAGTTTTAAAGATATTTTAAATTTAACATTTGGTATTAAATAATATAAGAATAATTAAGAAAAAAAAAGACTATTACTTATCACTTTTTCTTTTTTTATATTTTTTCTTTCATACTTTTCATTTTTCTTTTTAATTTCTTGGAATCTAATAGCAGGATCCGTTATCACATCGTATTATAGAAAAAAGAAGACGTGACAGAATGAATTCATGTTTAGCAGATCTATCAAGATTAATACCACCACAATATCAAAGGAAAGGACGTGGTCGAATAGAAAAAACTGAAATCATAGAAATGGCAATTAGACATTTAAAACACCTACAAAGTGAATGTGTACATAAAGAATATGAATATAAATTAGGTTATGCGGATTGTATGAAAGAAGCTGCAAAATTTTTATATGAAAGTCATATGCAAGAATGTTGTTACCGTTTGATTGCACATTTAGATGAAATTATGAAAAGTAAGTTTAATAATATATAAATTTTCAATGTAAATTCTTGCAATCAAGAATAATATTTTATTCTAAATGAAAGCATTAAACTATAAGAATTATATTAAAACATTGTATATTATATTTCTAGGTGACTGTTTTAAGTCCCGATGTAATATTGAAACTACATCAGCGTCTAGTGGTAGTCCAGCTCAAAATAATCATCATCAAACAAATTTAACAGTTCCAACTCCACAATTACGTGATATACTTACATCTGATGTAGAACATAGTAATGATCATAGTGATATTAAAGATTTAAGTTTTCGTAGTCATCATCCTGATCTTCATGAAAATGATCACCGTAGTAATAACAATAATAGTAACACAATTAATAATAAAAACAGTAATTGTAATAATAATAATAATAACAGTAGCAATACAACAAATCAACATTCACATCCAGCTCCAGTAATAACATCAATAGGGCCAACATCAATTCAACATGATGATTTTGATTCATCACGTGAGTTACCACATCATGAAAATGGTTTATCATCACCACCATCAATATCATCATCAATAAATATACCGAATGTACCCTCAATTTTATCAAATAATAATAATAATAATAATAATAATAATAATAATAATAATAATAATATTAACAATAGTAACAATAGTAATAACAATAATAATAACAGTAATAATAATACCAATCCAACAGCAGCATCAATAATACAACATCATCATCAACAGCAATCACAGCAACAACAACAACATTATACAGCAGATGGTATTTTAAAATCAGTCCGTTTACGTAATTTATCTGAATCATCTCATGATATTGAACATAATAACAACTACAAATATAAAAATCATATTAAAGAACGTTTTAATCAAGATTCACATTTAAATCATCATGATGAATCAACAAGTGATCATAGTATAACAATATCTGAAAGTCCAATTAATCATCAATTACAAATAAATAATCACAATAGTAATGATATGAAACCACAATTAACAATTCAACAACAAAATATAAAACCAGAATTACAAGATGTTAATAGCATATCATATAAGAAACGTAAATTGGATATAAATAATATACAAGAACATCAAAAAGAAATTATTGATGCAACTATATCATCTAGAAATAATTTAAATAATATACAAAAACCAGACCATCATAATAATAATAATTTAACAGAGGACATTAAAGTTGAAATATCACAATTAAATTCAACAAAATTAATAAATGATAATGGCAATAGTATTGGTACAAGACAAAATTCATCAAGGCATTTAACAAATTTAACAAATGATAGACATTTTTCTGTACCAATATTTGCGTTACATGGTCAAGGAACCTATTATGTACCACTAAATATTGATTATGAATCTCTATTACCATATTTAAATGGTATTGATTTATTTGATAAAAATTATTGTCCATTACCAATGTTACATCCAGTTAATATACATGTTAATTTCTCTTTTCCACATGCTATAGCAGCAGCAACTGCTGCAGCTGCTGCTGCTGCTGTCGCCTCTTCAGGACTTACAAAAACAAATTCTATTTTACCATCCCATCTTTTAACTAGATCGAAATTAGAAAGCATTTCAAATGGCTGGTAAAATAAAATTATATATATATACATATATTTATATATATATGTATTATGCATGTTTTGTTACTATTTTTTTTTTTTATTAATGTTTTTTACATGTCTTAAAATAAGTATAATAATTTAAGTATATAATTAATAAATGTATATAAACAAAAAGAAAAACAAAAAATTTTTAAAAAGTAAAAAAGAAAATATTTTATATAAAATAAAATTTACTTAAAGAAAACAAAAAAAGTGAAAAATTAAAATTGAATTACAGAAAAATGGTTTCCTTTAAAAAAAAAAAATAACAATTACAAAACATATTTTTAAAATATATCTAGCTGTTAAAATATAGTTATTATCTAAAATTAAATAAGTATATTATATATAGATACTTTCCAATTTAAATTTAAGTATATAGGGTATTTTATAATGAACTGAAAAATGTAAAGAAATGTGAAATTGGTAATGCAACATACAAAAAAAAAAACAAAATAAAATATGAAATGTTAAATTTAAAAAAAAAAAAACTAAAACAAAATTTCATTGTAATTTTATTATATAATATTGTATTCTACCTCTAAAAAAAAAAAACAGAAATAAAAATGTGAAATGTTTAAGAAACTAAATACAAATTTAATTAATTAAAATTAATTAAAATATTACGATTATAAAGAATAAAATAATTATATATGTAAATGTATGTAGATAGAAAATTTGAAAAACCATCAAACCAAAATTGCAGCAACACAAAAAATAAGAATTTAAAAATAATTTATTTTTTTACATTTAAAATTACAATTAAAAATTTTTGTTTTTTTCACAATTAAAATATAGGCTACAATTAATATAAAACTGTAATTGATGTGATTATATTTATTATACTTGACATTATTGAACATTCTATATACAATTTTATACAAATCTTATTTTGATTTTAATAATATTAGTATAAAAAATATCTTTTGTAATTCCAACGAAATTGTTATATCGCATAATATATTATCGTTTAACTGGCTTATCAATTACATTACTATATTTGGATGATTTATTTTGAAAGTGCGACATAAGTCCAATTTCAATTAAAAATTAAATATTGCTCAGTTTGGCTTTAAAATAACTAAAAATTCTATTCGGTTAACTACAGTTATTTGCTTTATATCTATATTCCTCTATCCGAGAACATAAGTTTCAATTCCAATTATATTGACGGTATTATTGCTTTGGTAACAAAAGAATTTTGAAATTGCAAATAAACTTAGGTGACTTCCATAAACCATCCATTTAGCGTTAAAATTTTTTTATACCAAATGTACTTATGCAATGTTTTAAAAATGTCTAATTGAATAATGTAATTTAATTCTGATTTTAGAAAAATATTAATTTAATTAATTTTTGTAATAAAATATGATATGTGCTCCTTTAAAATATTAAATATATAAAAAATATTGTTTATATTTATTATTTAAAATAAAATTAACTTCAAAGAATTATGCATTTCTCTTAACGCAAAACAATGTCTTACTATTTTATAAAAAATATAAAATGTTCTTTTTAGTGCTATTTTATGTTTTTTTTTTTTATTATATATTTTATAACTAGCATTAATTTAATTATTTTTTAATAATATTGCTGAAATAAAAATATCAATAAAATTCAACAATAACTAATTAATTTTGAAATATAATATTAAAAAAATTAAATATATTTATTTTTAAATAAATAAATCACATCAAAACTTTTAAAGACTACATTATTATTAATTTTGTTTTATAATACGTATTAATATAATAAGTGAAATTATGTATTACATGGCATAATATACATGTATCTTCAATTATATTTCATTTAATTTTTAATATCAAATTACAATATATGTGTATGTACGCAGAAATGGAATAATTGTGTGAAAAATTACAAAATTTAATAAATTAAATAGTAGTCAATAATTAATAATCGAGTTATATATATTAAAAAATCATGTATTTATACAATTTTTATTTGAAATAAAAAAAAATCTCAAAAAAAAAAAATTAAATTTTAAATTAAAACTCAAGAATAATTTCGGAAATTAATGATAATTTTTTGTTTTAAACTCAAAATATGTTATAAAGATTTTAAGTCCTATTAATTATACTTATGTATATCAGAAATATAATATTGTCCAATTACTTCGAATTTAATAACATTTTTAATAAATAAAAAACTTAATTATATTAAAGATCTTATACACGTTCCATACTTATTGTGTATAGGTTGAAATAACAAAAAAATCTATTTTAATTATATTTATATTAATATAATATATTTACACACAATATATATGTACATATATTGTGTGTAAATATATTATACTAACGTATATTCAATATATTTCTTTTTTAATTCAAAACAACCCTAATTCAATTTTCTATTTACATACATATATATATATATACATATGTACTATAATAAATTCTGATTGAAAATAATTTAAAATTAAAAATGTTAATTAAAACTATATTTGATTATCTAAATTTTAATTGTGAAATTAAGTACGTTTTATATAATTAATTACAAAATAAACAAAAAAAAAACAAAAACAAAAACAAAAATGTAACATATATTATGTAAGTAAAACAAAATTACGAACCAATCAATTCCTAGTCACTTAAATAGCTCTTATAATTTAAGAATATTGTTTTAATTTGTTTTCTTTCTTTTTTTTTTATATATATATATATAAAATAAAATATTATAATATTATGTATATGTTTAAAGTAGAATTAATATTACAAATATTATAAAATATTATTAAAATATAAAATAGAATGTATTTTTGTTAAAATAAATGTAAATTTATCGTTATATTTTAATATGTATGTATTCTAAAAACAGAAAAATAAAATAAACTATTAAAAAAAAATTAGAACATGTTTGAAAATTAAATGTTGACACATATGTAAATATGATATACATATGAATATATATTTATAAAATAGTGAATACGAAAATATTTAGTGAATAGTGAATTTTTAATATTTGTTTTTCGCTAATGTTTTTAAATCTTTTAATTTTCTTCTTTTGTTAATCCTAATATAGCATCAGTGATGCTATAAATCTGATGATTATGTTAAGTTCTTGTATTTTTCTGTTACTCAAAGAATATTTCTGAAAGAGTTCTGTGTTGTTAATGGAAACACAACAAATTTTAAGCAGTCCGATTAGGAAAAGAGTAAAACCAGTGTTGGATTACGAGTATAACCAGAACATTAATTGGAAGAAATCCTTGCTTAAAATTCTTTATTTTTTTTTTTGTTTTTTGAACATTTTGAATTTCTGAACGATTTTCTTTGATAAAATAATTTTTTCTCTTAAAAAAATTTCTTAAACAAACAAGGAAAATTTCCCGTATATAGCTACTATGGACCAACTAACTTATAATATGTCACATTAATGCCCATGATGGTGCAAAAAACATAATATAATGCTTTATAAAATAAAACTTTATATTAATTTCAAACATTTACATCTTCCCAAGCCATCACAAAAATCAAGATTATTTAGAAGCTAAATATAAACGCCTGTGATTATCAACGAAGCCGAAATTTGTGATACAGTACAAACTTTATGTTATTATATACATCTATATACAGCTCTTGAGATATAACCATGTTTTTGTAACTATTGAAGTTAGGATTGCTAAATAACATTACCATTCTCTCTAAGAACTATCGTTAAACAATTTTATGAATTCTTATAAATTTCAAATTATGAGTTTGAAAAAGTTTTACGGTCGATTGATAAGTACTATAGAAAAATATAGATAAGTCAAAACATTAATTTCATTTAAGCGGGATAAACTTAAATCTTTCTATATGAAACACAACTCAAAAACATCACAAAAGTCAATAGAAAAAGGACATTCACTTAATACTTTAAATTTAAGACATTAAATATTTCCTTATAAATATTTACATGGGAAGGTCTTACAAAATATACTCGCTGTTATTATTATCAATATCAATTAAAAATTTTGAATAGCTTAAAAAAATCAAAAATGAATAATCTTCTAGAACTGAAGAAAAACATTAAAAAAAAAACAAACCCTAATAGTAAAAGAAGTAATTACAATATTTAAATTTCTGTTATTTTTTATTTACTTTTTTTTTGCCTTTTGCAATTTGCAAAACTGAATGAATACATTCAAAATAAGCTTACATGAATTATGATTTTCCTTCAATCTTGAATGATTGCTTCTAATTTTGTTGGAAATATATATTTTCATATATATTAGATAGATAAATTATGGTATTTTAAATACAAATATTTTTCATTTTTAAAATACAATATTTATAAGTATGGTAATTTTTTTTTTTAGTATTTTTAAATTACAATAGATTAAAAAAGAGTTATATAAAAAAAGAAAAACAAAATATTTTTAATGATGAGCTTTTTAATTTCTTCTGGATCTTCTGCGGGAAGAACTTTGTTGCTGTTGTTGTTGTTGATTTTGTGGGTTTTGTCCACTATATAAATTATCCAAAAAATCATCTAATGATGGTTCGCTAAGTATGTTAAAATAAATTAGAGTTTATTTTTCTTCTGGTATCAATATTTAAATAAAATTTTTGAATTCATTAACCTTTGTTGTTCTCGTTTCATTTTTTCTCTTTCAAAATTAACATTTTGCTGTTGTTGTTGCTGCTGTTGACCACCTCTAACGATTCTGTATTGTACTACATGAGAATTTGGTTTGAGATGAGAAAGAGCTCCCTTTTGACAGTTGGCCCATTCTGTTATATCGTAACATTTTCCATCCTGCAAAAAAAATTTTAACAATCGTTATGTATGTATAATTTAATTAAATAAATTATTACCATTAAGGCTAAATATTTCCAACGTAAACCAAAAACACTTGTTTCAGCCCATATATCTCCCTTTAAAATATTGAAAAACGTAAATGAAAGCAAAATATTTGTAAAAACGATATTATATATAAATATATAAACTAAGATTTAAGATAAATACATTATGAATACAAAATTTACATATAAAGCGTACATATGTAAGAGCACTGCTACATTCTTTTGGATAGGTCCTCATTAATACATAAAACTTTTTTATGCAGATAATGTTTAGAAGCTTAAAGTCAATATGGAACGTTTATTTTACCTTCTAAAATTTATGACTATCTTTCTGAGGTAGAGAGATTGCTATTCGAATATGTTTTGGGAGGCTCAGAATAAAAGATATCTAATATAATCTATCAGATTGGGGAATCATGATCTAAATTTTCGAAAATTTTGGATGTTTAACTTTCCATTTTCAAAAAAAAAATATTTTTTTATGTAACATTGCTACTCGTGAGGCCTTATACAATGGTATACAGTAGTGCACTTATAAGTGAGACATTATGTATATATGTAAGTTAAATGAAAAATATAATTACTTCACGAGCCGAATGACGTATTTTACATGAACTACATTCTCTGGCAGCATAATGAGGACGATCAGTCAGTTTCCTAGGATGTCTTAAACCACAGCTACTACACCTAAAACAGAAACCACAAATAAAAATTTAACAAATTTACAAAATATTTAAAAAAACAAAACCTAATTGTATTAGCAGCTTCTGCAATTTTTGATTGTAATTGAGATAATAAATCATGCAATTCGGACCAAGCTTTTTCTGCGTGTAGAGCCTCCGCTAAACTTTGGTCATAGGATTTTCGGTTCTCCTAATAAAATTAAAATTAATTAGAATTAAAATAAAATTTATTTAATAAAGTGTTTACCGGTTCCCCAATAAGTTCAAAAGCTCTCTGTAAAACTTTAAAAGCTTCTTCAGCTCCAGGCTGCTTATTTTTATCAGGATGAACTAAAACGGCAATTTTTTTGTAATGCTTACGAATTTGTTCTTGTGAACTGCTCGGTACCACCCCCAGAATGCTTAATTGAAAATAACACAAAAAAATTTAAAAATTTTCTATCGTATATGATTTGCTTTACCTATAAGCATCTTTTCCTTTACAATTAAGTAATGAGTACATTGCTTCATCTCCAGTTTGTGGAAGACGCCCATTCTTGTAAAATTCCGTGTGACTTTCTTCCGTTTTTTTTTTATTAAATTTTCTCCAAAATGCTAACTTCGAATTTTTACTAAATTTACTATCAAATTTTGTTAATAAATCTTTTATCCACTCGCTTGGTTTGCCAGAATTTTGCCGTAAATCCTTTTTAAGGTTGATTAAGTATGTTAAAGAATTCTGGTAACCGATTTTCATACGATCGTATGCTATACCAAAACTTAAAACGACAACATCGTAAACTAGATAAAAAAGCCAAGTTAGGATTTTAATTGTATATTCAAACCACTTTTCAATAAACTTAATTATCATTTCCTTTTTGATATCTCTTCTCTGTTTCTGATTTCGCTTGGAGTACGTATTCTTCTCCGAACGAAAAGAGTTTGATGTTACACCGTTGCTGTTGCTAACGGAAGAATTAGAATTTTTTTGACCACCACGACTTTTTTTTGTGCTTGAATTCTGAAAATATTTTTGCGGCTTTTCAACATTGCCTTCACTGGTTTTTATGGTAACATTATAAAAGTATTCTTTGTAGTTATTTTTCGATCGACTTTCATCATCTTCATCTACATTATCGCTTTTTCGATTAGTGCGCTTTTTTAAATTTTCTCTTATTCCTGTTTGATTTTTAGATTTGCCTAAAATTAAAAGATTAAAAGGAAAATTATTGTGCTACCAGAAAAATAAAATCAAACTAACTCTTCTCATTGCCAGAAATTGTTTTTTTCGAATTTAAACTTCCTTTTCCTGCATCCTTTTCATCCGAGTTGAGATTGGGTTTCTTTTTTTCTTTAGATTGCCCATTTATTGAAGACCCCTCTTCAAGTTTTTGCGAAAAATTGACGTTAGCTTCTGATTTTTTATTTTTTATGTCAAATTTGTCCTTTTCATCATATGTGTTCTGTTTCCTTTCGACAGAAGAATAAGGACATGAACTTTTAAGTTTATCATAAGCAAGTTTTGACAAATTTCTTGTCTGGCTTGGACCATAATCTCCATTTGCATTTAAGCCGGAGTTATTACCTTGATTATTCGAATTTAATTTGTTAATTTCAACATTTTTACTTAAGACATCTGAATAAGACATTCTCATCGGTTTTACTTCAGCGACAATACGTTTTTTCATTTCTGGTAAATTATTCTGATTTTCAAAACTTCCATTCGTTTTGGAAGACTTTAAATTAATGCTTTTACTTTGCATTGGATTCAAGTTTGTAGCATTACTAATCATAACATCATTTACATCAAAATATAAATTAGAATTTCCAATATTTTGCAAGTTCTGACTAATCTGATTACTTTTATTCAATAAAAACTGTTGATCTTCAGTTTTTTGTTGCTGTTGGTGTTGAGCCATAGAAGGATTTTGTTCTCCGAAAGGTGAATAAGTTCCAGAGAAATTTGGAGACCAATTTGTAACTAATTGATTTATAATCATGTTGGTAGTGCCATTTTGAAGTCCGTGCTTTTCTGTTTCCATTCGAGCATTATGCGGTGGTAATATTGAATTGCTAGAAAACAATTCGTAACTGTTGAAAGAGGGCTGCTCAGTTTCACTATTGTGATATACTTTCAAAAAATAATCCTGTCCAACAGGTAAAACAGAGTAATTTTCTGAAATCTGCCCTAAATTGGAAGAGTTGTAACGACTAGTATTATTCGAAGAATTGCTGCTAAAAATTTCAGGGTGCTGCTGTGATTGCGACGCACAAGGGGGTAAATCACTAGAATTTTTTATATTATTCCATTTCCTTGCATCCTCATTAGATGCAGTACTTGACATTTTTGTCTTTTCGTATTAAATCACAAAATTCAATTTTACTTAAAGGAACTGCAAATTATATACGGGAAGTCGAAGTTTTCAAATATGCTTTCAAAATAGTTTCGATTTTAGTTTTTTGTTTGCTTTGATTGCGCTTAAAAATAAATTTTTAAAGTCTTTCAATTTACTTTTTACTTTCTATCCATCCAAGCTGCACGCTTTGACAGATGACACATATATTGAAATAAAATTTTAAAAATTTAGTACGTACTTATACTGCGACTATTGTTACTTTGCCTAGAAAACACGGTATGTATCTACATTGCTCCTACGAAATTCCTGCAAAACGCTGAATTCACTGTTTATTCGAATTTCAGTTTACGCTAATGCTAATTTGCAGAACCATTTAATTTAGGCTTAATATATTCAGATTCAATAAAGAGAATTTGGAATTTGGGAGTTATATTTTTTTAATGATTTGAACAATAAACATTTAAAGAAACATCTTATAAACTTTCAACGTAGGTTTGTATATTTTGACATAATTTTAACCGTATATAATACATATATAAGATTTCTCCACTGATTTTCGCTTAAATGAACATTATCATATGTTTTGGAGTTATGAAAATACTTTCAATGAAAAGAATTTTCAACAAACTAAAGTATTTTGGTCAGCAAGTATTCTGTTGTAACTTAATTATTAATTGAACTCGACCCATTTTTCATTTTTAGTGAAAATATTTTGTTCATTCCTTTATTTTTTCATAACACAAATGCGTTTATGCAATTAACATGAACTGTGTTTATGCAATAAAAATAGGTATTATTCATAAACAGGTCATGCATAATAAGTTTAACTTCTGAAGAGTGCTACCGTTATTTACTCAATATAATTTTGACACTTCACTGTGTTATACACTTTTGCAGAAATTTTGATTGAGTAATAAGTATACAAATTTATGTCAGATCTTGACATAACAAAGTATCAGCAATAAGTCAGAAGTCAAATACATATTTTCAAACCTACAGGCATGTGTTGTTGTTGACATTAAAATTTAAAATTTTACGCAAAAATAATTTACATCTTTCAAGGATAATTATAAATATTTTCTCTTAAACATGTTTACTATAAAGACGGGTGGCGCTGTTTCAACTTTGAGAAATTTTGCGAAAATAATTTTACCGAATAATACGATTAGCACTTCATCTTTATTATGTAAAGTTGAAGACCGAAAACGTAAATAGTTCCTAACAAATAAATATGCTTGTTATGATTTTAGTGGTATTTACTCAAAAATCTTTTACAGAAATGTTAGCATCCTTACCGAAAATAGATGAAGGCACCGCAGGAGAAAAGTCTATAGATATTGATTCTTTAATTCAAAAAAAAGAAAATGTTTTCCCCGACAAAGAAACACCAAACCGTTTATTTAATGGAATTCCTTTTAATGAATTGCCTATTTGTAACATAAAAGTATCAAAAAACAACACGATTATTTCATTCACTGATCATAAAGGTCAAACACGTTTATTACGTTCTTGTGGAATGGAAGGTTTTAAAAATACTCGGAAAGGAACAAATATTGCAGCTCAAGCTACAGCAATAAGTATTAGTTCAAGGGCGCTTGATATTGGTTGGAAAACTATTCGAGTTGCAATCAGAGGGCTAGGTCCTGGGCGATTGTCTGCTATTAAAGGTTTGCAAATGGGAGGATTAAATATTGTTTCAGTTACAGATGCCACCCCAGTTTCTTGGAATCCACCTAGACCCAGAAAACAAAGAAGGCTTTAAAATAGTAATAGCAAAACATTTATTTATATAAAATTAATTGAAATTTTTTATTAAATTTTCTATATCAATAAGTATTAATTAGACTTCTTTTTATTTGATATTACTTTCCCATTTTCGTCTAAAGTTTTTCCATGCTTAATCGCTTCAATTTTTCCTATTTCTCTCAGTTTTGCTCTTTCAATTTTACGTTCTTTTCTTGATTGTCCATTATAAAAATATCTTTCTCTAAAATCATGAAATTCAGAGCTTTGCTCGAATGTAGTATCGTAATCATCTATGTTTCGAACTTTAGTATATGTAAGGAGTCTTCTTGAAGTTTGCCCACAAAGACGTTGTTCTGAGTTTGCAACTAATTTAAGACAAGGATGTTGCGGAATAGCTTCATTTGAGTAATCATCTCTAAAAAAATATTTTTGTAACTTTTTATTATAAAATTATGAAATTTTCTAATTGTGAAGCTTACTGATGGAATGGTAACCAACATACTAATCGGCAATTCATTTTTAAATGCTTTGCTGAAAATCTTAAAAGATCTCTATACAAATTATGCAAAGAATATGGAGATGTGGAGGGATAATGAGGAGCGTTTGGATCTCTGGAATTGATTTTTTCTGAAATTTTTGTATCGATTTTACTTGTTGCTTCTCTAATACCATAGGGAGCTGAAATTAATGAAAACTTTGTACTTAATTGATAACGGAAAACATTTTCTTCTTACGATCGGTTATTATGCTATCAAATTCTATATTATCTCTCCACACAGGATTTGAAAAATCCGACACGAAAACATCAATGAAACGTTTTTCGCAGTCATATTGTTTTAAATTTGCTTTGATGCTTTCATCACTATCTCTAATTTTTTGTGAAATCCTGCTGGGTCGGCTTTTTGCGTGCAGCATCATATAATCTATATCAGTTCCCATAACGTATGCTTAAAAAAAAATAAGGTATTCGATGTGTTTCACAGTATTGACTTTTACTATATTTACCTCCAAATTTAGCGGCGCTAACTAAAAGTGAACCAGTTCCGACGAAAGGATCGAAAACTAAGTCAGATGGTTTAACTAATGCTTGATTCGCCATTAACAAACTTAATTGAGCGTCCATAGAAGTATTTCCAATAAATTTTCTATTTTTTAACGATAGTTCGTTAATTAAGTTCCGTTGACCATCGGCAACCTGAAAATACATGTTAAAAAATCTCCAAATTTAAATTTTCTTTTTTTTCAAGTAATTAAAATGTGCTGAATAAAATACTAACCCATCTAGCAAAAATTGTTGAAAACGGATCGTTAGGCACATCTTTTGGATTCATTCCATAAAATTCTATATACCACCACTCAACATCTGGTGCTTTTAAATTTACTTTCCCCCGTAAAGGAAGGTAATCAAAATTTTCAATTTTTTGTACTTTTTCCTTTTGAGTAAAATGTTTATTGTACGTTTCTACATTTATTTTAAATGATAGTTTTTCGCAAAAATACTGTTCCGTTTCCTTATGTTCTTTAATATATTTCTTTAAATTTGAGTGCATTTCGTCACGTTTACCATAAGACCACAATTCCAAAATACAGCGCATTGAAACAGACCTGGAAGCAAGCTTCTTTGCTTCTTCCTCATTGGGTAACTCAACTATCCAATAAGGTTTCTTTACAAGAAAATCATAAATTTTTATTGTGTTCCAAAGTTTCTTTAAAGATACAGAGAGACTTACATTTATTTCCAAATCGCAAAATTCCAGGTTTAAGTTGAATAATTGAATAATTGATTTTATTTCCTAAAATTTGAATAGATACTATGCAATAACTTTATTACTCTTTTTGTGAATTTTAATAATCTTACTGCATATCTAAAGTCAATATGTTCTTGTGCAAACCATAATAAATATTTTTTTAGTTTCGTCATATTTACATTAATATATTACAAATATTACAATATTGTTTAATATTTAAATCTTTCCAGCTGAAGAAACATAAACAACAACATGTTCGCATGACTTTTGTTTGACACATATGACAGCATTAGTATTTAATATAAAATATATATGTATGTAGTGCTGTTTGTTTACATTTCGTATGAAAATTTGAGTAGAGACGAGCCAAAATTTTTTAAATAAGGTTAAAAATAAAATAATGTTTATCTCAGTCTAGAAAATTAAAATCCTCAGCTTTACGGTCAGGATTTTTTAAAATTAAAAGACTACAATTAATTTTTAGTGGAAGTTTGGAGCAACGATCAGCTAAGTTTCGTTTTGATTTTAATTTCCGTAATTTAATTTTATATTTATTAAATTTTTATATATATTAAATTTCAGAAAAACCCAGATACGTAATGCGAAAAAATTCTTCTCATTGCATAAAAAATATATATAAATAATCGTCACTTAGTCTTCTCGAGAAAAATTGCAAGATTCACGATCACGTCTTGAATAATTCTTTTAATTATCCTAAAAAGAATTATTTTTTTTTTTATAATGAATTGATGAAAATGAAATATTCTCAAAAAATAACGTCTACAATAATGAGATGTCTATTTAAATAATAATGAGAACTGTCATTATCGTTTTTGCCACTCACATTTTAGTCAAGATATCATTCACTTTTGGTGTCATCATTAAAAAATGAACTGTCAAAAATAGTTATCATTGTACCATAGTATTATGCATGAAGTCCTTCTTATCACTTTTTCATGGACGAAATCGCATCTAATCTGCAGCATTATTGCATTATTACTTACCATATTGCAATAACGGTAACATGATTGAAAATTAACTAATCATGACGCTAAATGAAAAAAAAAAATCGGGAAATTCCTTTTTTTTTTAAATAATTTTTATTTAATTTTTTATCATTTTTTATTTAAATTGTCATTAGTTTATATATAATTTAGATATATATATATATAAATCATTTGTTTTTTCAATAATTTCTTTATTATCTTGTAATAATATAATAATCATTATCCACTCTCATAAATTTGTTGTTTGTTTTCTGTAATAATTACAATTTTTTGTTTTAATTCTGTATAATGTTCTTAAATAATTTCACAATTTCCTTATGTTTTTTTTGTCCATTTTAATTCTGATTTTTGTTGTTAGAATTATAATTTTATTTAATAATTATTTTACATATGTATTTTCTTTTGTGTTTTTCTTTTTTTTTTTAATTTTAAATATTATATTATTTATTATCATATTCTGATCATATTTAGCATATTTTTTTTTATCTTGCTTGAAATAATTTTATTTTAATAATACATACAAGTAATATTAATCATTTTATATAACTTTCATTAATTAATTTTATAAATATAAATGTCTAATTTTTTATTATAAACATCAAGTTTAGTTACCTTTTTCTCCGCTAGAAGAAGTTTTTTGTTAATTATTTATTATTATGTACTTTTTTTACTATTATCTTTTTTACAATTTTATAAATGATTTTTGTGTTTATGAAATTTTATGAAATTAATAAATAAGTTTTAAATCAAGTCAGTTATTTCTTATTTTTTTTGTGTCGGAATATTTTTAGGTTTTTATTTGTTCGACATTGTTTTTGTATTTTCTTTTTTCCTTTTTTTTTTTGTTTTTTTTTTTTGGTTTTTTGGGTTTTTGGTTTGTTGTCCCCTATCATTATTTGGAAAATATATATATTTCTTTTAATTTAATTTTAATTTTAATGTAATTTTGAATTAATAGATTTTATCTAATGATTTTCAAACACAATTTTCGTCGTTTCAATTTTATATTAATAACATTACGAATATTTTTATTAATTTATAATATTATATGTACTTAATACATAATATGTATGTACATATATGTATTAAAAATTAATCGTATGTACATTTTGAATAATTTAAATTTAACAATGCTAAACATTATATTTTGAGCTCGTAAAATAAAGTTCTTGAAAGTATAGTTTACATCAAGAGATATACATACATACAATAATTTATATGTATATAAAAATGTATAATATTGTATTACATAAAATTAATAATATTGTTATGTATAGTATTTTTGATGACAATACAAAAAATGAATCATAAGTATTTGAGATTTTATAAATTTTATTATTGTGAATATGATGAAAGTCCTACAAATTTATAATAAAAGCTATAATGTACTAGAAGAACATTGTAACTTTCCTTAATGATAGCAATATTTTTTCCAAAAAAAGAAAAAAAAAACTTGCTAAAACAAGTGTATTTCTCTTGTTTACTAATATTATAATCCAAATGAAAAAAGTCATCAGAAGACATAACTTCCAAATAGTTTTTTGAATATTAATTGAAGTTTAAAACACCGTTTTTACAGTATATATATCAAATATGTGTAACTGACGTTAGTCAGGAATTTCAGCGTGACATGACGTACGCGTCATTAAATCGAATATACGTTGCCAACTTTACTGATTATTATTTTATGTTTTTTTAATGCATTAAAGGCTGACGAAAACAAAACATTTTTAATTTTGAAATTTTAAATATTCCGCTTTATTGAATTTTTTTTTTGTTAAAATCTCAATTGCGAAAATTGCTTAATTGCAAATGATTGTCATTTGCAAAATCAAGCACGAATAACAAATTGACATGATCTTAAAATTTTTGATATGCTGAAAAACGGCCAAAATTTATTACGATTTTAAGATCTCAATTTTATAATGAAACGTGATTATCGTGTTCTTTTTTCTTCTTTTTGTTCTTATATTTAAATAGAAAATCATAAATTTTTAAATATGTTCATGTAGTTCAGTCAATATTATATAATAATTTTAGGGCATTGAATGAGAAAATATTAAAAATTAAAATAAATTTTTAACAAATTTTTTATAATTCTAATAATTTATGTATGCGTGATCGAAATAAATGTATAAATTATTTCTTTCTTTCTTCATATAATTTTTAAAATAATATAATATGTATATAATGTGTATGTAATTTTAGTTGCCACAAGTATTTTTTTTTAATTTTGAAATATTTTTTAGTAAATTTTTAATTTATAATTACTACCTACTTATTAGCTAAACAATTTATATAATATATATTTATATTGTGTGTCATATTTTTTCTTTCAAACTATTTTTATTAAATTTATTTTCTTTATTATTTTTGTTTTTTCCTCATTGTTGTTAACAAATAAATTTTAATATATGTATGAATATAATTTTTTTTTATTTATATTTCTTTATATTATAACTTTGATTTTCTTATATACTTTTGGTCGTTATATTTGATTCTATAATCAAAGTTGCGGCAAAAAAATTAACTTAAGAATAAAAAAATCCTCTTTATCAAAAAAAAAATTATGCACTGAAAATACAAAAAATAATTATACTGCGAAATTTTAATTTTAATATTTGAAATTTTTAAGCAACAATACTAAACGACGACGTTTAATATTAGTTGGATGAAAATTTACAAAATTGTAACCAATTATTGCTAGCTACATATATATAAAGTATGCACAATAAGATTAAAATTTTCCAAAATAAATTTGTCAAATTGATTATCAAAAAAAATTTATACTGGATTATACAATTCAAATCATTCAAATCATACTTTATTCCAAAATTCATATTATATATGACATTTTTATAACTGTGTATATATAATATATACATACATAATTTATATGTATTTAATTACAAAATTTCATTAAAATAAAATAAAATCAAAATATTTTACTAATAAAAAATATAAAGTCGAACACGCTCATTTGCAACATTCATATAGGAAAAAAAATTTTATTAATATAAAATTAAATAGGATATGACTAACTGCTGCACAATAGGGATATACGCACAAAAAATTCTGCTCGGAAGAGCGTCCATATAAGTGCGTTCGACTGTAGTTATTATAAATGTCATGTCAATTGTTAAATTTTTAATATAATTTGTATAAAAAAAAGTTATTATTGCATTGGTTTATTTATATTGCTTTAATTTTATCTTATTTAGCATACAATAAGAAATTTCAAAAGAAATATAATGCTATAAATTCAAATTTTATTTATTATAATTAATACCTTATAAATTCAATTGATTAATAAGAATTCTTTGTACTTCAGTTTCCTCTTGTTTTTAACTGTCAAGTCTTTAAAGTTAAATTTTATTTTTTTCTAATAAAATATAAAAAATAAAAAAAAAAATAAAATTTTTAATTTTATCTTGGTGTTTCCATAAACCACATTTCCATTTGAATTTATAAAAATGAGAATACAATATATGTATATGTATGTAAGTTTTGAAACCATGTTAAGCTAAAAAAAAAACATTAAGATTAAATTTTTCTCCCTCTTCTTTCTTCCTCTCTATCAAGAAGATACTATCAAGTGGAACTATGACTAGAAGTAATTCTCAACCGAATCAGTTGATGCATATGAATTTGTTGCGAAAATCAATTGCGGTTATACTGGCCCAAAGGAAAAACAATTCGTTCATCACTTATTTTTTTTTTGAAAAAGCAATTAATTTAAACAAGCTATTTGTATCCAATAAAAAGCGTGACATAATATTCTTTTGAAATTTTTCAAAAAAAAAAATTTTTAAAACAAATCATATAAAAAAATATGTGCGTTTCCAATCAAAACATGTTGATATAAAAGTTCTTTCTGTACGTACACTGCAGTTTACAAAAACATAAGTAATTGTTATTGGTTTTTAAAAATCATTGTTTGAATTTATATTTTTTTTTTTGACAGCCAACGTTTCGAGAACGTGGTGGTTGTAAATCGAGATTAAAGTGTTCATACTTATATCAAAAGTTTAACATGATGCAAAAACCATTTCCTATTATGACGAACATGTTAATCACGTCATTCGCTTGATTTTGCTTGATAACAATTATACAATTCGCATTTAACATTTTCAAAATTATTTCAATAAAGTGGAAAATTAAAGATTTCTTCGTCATTCGTTTTGTCACATATAAAAATTACTTATGCCATTAAAGCAATGCATCAAAAAACTA